ATTCTATGATTCTATGATTCTATAAATATTTTTTAATCTCTTAGTACATCCAGTGTGATGAAAAGAAATTTCTTACAAAAGGAGCTTAATATTTTTATGAAGAACGTCAATTTTTACATACTATTGCTTGAATGGTATGTAAGAGCTGAACTTTCATTTGCCCTAAGCAGTACATTAAGTGGTTTGGGTTTTTTTTCTGATCAAAATCTCAATTCATTTATTAATGATACAAACATAAGAAAGCTTGATCTAGAAAATAAGAAAGATGTTTAAATGGCTGTTACATAGAAGTCAAGTGTATTTATGTAATTAAATATTAAGATCCAATCAAGGGCAATATTTTTTACCTCACAAATATATTCATCACCTATCAATAGGAAAAATTCTTTAGCTAAATAATGGCAATATTGCCTCATTCACTCTCATTTAGAGACACAAATACTCCAGATCTTAGTTCTGTGATACCGTCTCCTTAGCCATATTTTTTTGCAAAGTAAGCAAAAGTAAAACAATGAATGTAAACATGCATATGCTTAACTACTTTCCAGATTGCAGCATAGGCCAATATAACAGCTTTTGGTAGCACAGTTCCTGTTAGTACAAATCTGTTACCACACCTTTGAACTGAGAGAAAGCTGAATTCCTCCTGAACTGTCTTCGCTTCCTAGCCTATTGCCACAGTTACCAATGCGTGTTTCTTTAAGTCAAGCAGTTTTGTACACAACAATTTTCTCCCGTCAGATCAAAATGTAACAACTTTTATCAACTAACTTAACCCAATCTCAACAGCTTCATTTATTTGGAATCCAGAAGTGGATTGCTGCAGTTTTTTATGTTGCTTTCTCAGTCAGATTTTGCTATTGAAAATTAAGGATTGACTTTCCTTACTTCATCATAACCCACCCCAGTAGTTTCATGAGGCTAGCATCATTCTGCCTTACTTCAAATCAGGTGTCTACTTTACACTCCAGCTCAAAAGATGAGATTTAAGTAACAAACAGCTAGTTTTACAACGTATACAGCAATGTCTTTGCTAAGAAAGTAAAACCTGCCCAGGTTTTCATATAGTAACACTGACTTTGGATGCTTACCACACACTGCTATAGTAAACACAATCACTATCACTATACAGCTCTATCAGGCAAGGCTACATCTGCTCTAGAAGGAAGCAGATTAAGCACAAAAAAATGATATTGGACTCTTGGACTGGGCAGCTGGAACTGGAAGGCATGAGTTTCATCCTCTTGCTACACTATAAAGCTGTAGCCATGAGGCCTCAAATAACTTTGGATATGCCTACATACTTTGCTTGGGCCAGTCTCAGGAGGAAAGCAACAGGAGAGTAGGCTCCCTGAAGAGATCTTGTGAGTCCATAGGGTGGCTGGAAAACAATCTTAAGAGTACATAGGAGGAAAGCTAAAGGCTTCCAATAACAACTAAATACAAAGGGACATTTGAAAGAACCAACCAAGGAACAGTCATTTTAATGAAGCAGGGAGCAGAGAGACAAGAACAATTCTTTTGTTAGACATTTACCACCCACACTCAGAGTATTTAAATTCTCAGGAAAAAAAGGCAACATGCAGAGTAGTAGAACACAGTTTCAAACCACATCTATTTTAGAAATGTGCTAGCACGAACTTCATTTCTTTCCCACCACCCGTAGTTCTCCAGACCTTCCAGGGCAAATTTCTGGGATCTTCTGACAACAAAAAAGATGAGGTAGCCACTCCCAGCAAGCGTGCATAGGGCTAAGAAGTTAGCAAGAACCCTCAGGAATCGAGTCAAGTGAATATTTTCCTCTTTTCGGCTCTCCTGCTCCTCCACAATAGCTTCCTGCACTTGTTAGAAAGAAAAGAGTATTATGAGTACTTTAATGGTCAAGGCCTCACATTGCTTCCCCAGTTGTTAGAAGTCAGTTAAATAAATAACGAAGATGTGAATGCACACCTGGGCATCATCTTTTGACATGAGCTCACATTGTTTCATAAAATCTGTTTTGGACCCTGGTGGATCCTGGGTTTTGGCTCCCCAGAGTTCGCTTTGCTTCTGTTGAGTGTGTCCCCACTGAGTCTTGTTACACCTGCACTCACGTGCCGAAGAGAAACCAGTGTGTTCTGTCAGCTTGTAAGGTGCTGTGAGGCTGAGTGACAAGCAAGTGTCACTCACCACAGCAAGACAAACGTGGTTAGCTGCCAGAAAAGGAACTGTCACACTTTTAAAATGTGCATTTGTGAGTAAAGAGTAAAAAATTTTATTCTGTAAGTCAACAATTCAGAATGAATGAAAACACAGTGTAGATGTAGGAATCCCAAAAACGCAAACAGTGCACAACTTCAGACTGCAGAATAAAATGCTTGCCCCACGTTTACCCTTGGCCAGGACTGCTAAATATTAAGACTTTGATGTAACTATAATCTCCAGTTCCTACTTTTGCCAGCAGAAAGAGCTTTTGCTCTGAAGTGTCCTCATGAAAAGGAGTTTGGTTACAGCTACTCACTTTGGAGTAGAGGTCAGTTGCTCAGAGAAGCTGAACTCGTGCATTGTAATAATTACTCTGCATGGTTCTGCTTTTCTTACGACTTGTGTTTGTTACATAAATGAAAGGAGACTGCAGCAGCTCTTGAGCACTACTTCCACAACTTCACCCAAGCCAAGACTTCACCCTTTCTCTCTGAGATTCTTTGTTCATTTGCAAAGATCACAGTAAAGCTCCACGAGTTTACTTCTCAAAACTAAGTCTCTGTCTCAACCGATTTGTATTCTTCTCCAGATAGCTTTCAGCAACTGACCTAAGTAGGCAGGCAGGGAAAGCTCACACAGTTTCAGTGCTTTCAGTCAGTATTTCTTCAATATTTATTTTCCTGAGACCTTTTCTTTCTACTGACTTTGAATGCAGTTATCTTTTATGCACAAAGTTGGGAGCCTGGGCAGGGTGAGGTGGTATATTGGCTATATCACCCCTGCAGAGGGGAAGGGTGTGGTGTGTGAATGGATAGCGCAGTGGCTGCTTGGTCCTCCAGCTCCTATGCTGTATGTTATCAGTGTCACTGCAAGTCTAGCACCTTGCTCATTATCTGGCAGCACCTTGTCAGTGTATTCCCTGTACATTATTACATTAAAAATTAAATTTTCCTTTACATGCTGCACTGGTGTGTCTCAGTGACCTCAGTGTAGAAACATATTCTCTAACATTCAACAGATAGAATATATCCACTTCACTGTTTTCACAGTAGTGCATTTTGCTTGCATCCTGCCACAGATTCCTCACATAACGAGTCTTGAAATCTTCATACCCTATTAACTGAAAAGAGGCTTAAGAACACCTTGTATTGCCTTGCAAACTGGGCTATATTTCATAATTAATTTGAAAATAAAAACTTCATATTATGCAAGGAAAGTAACCTATTTTTCTCTTTGAAAATCAAGTATATACTCAAATTTCTGAGGTCAATTCTGACATGATGAATAGCCCTTTATAGACAATCCTATTGCTTTATCTTATGGTATCTCTTCACTGTAGCAAGATAAGATGATAATGTGAGGTTGGCAAAATGTCACCAGCATTTTTTAAAAAACTTTTTCACCATAGAAACTGGAAGCTATCAGAGATGAGAAAAAGGAAAAGATTATTTTTACAGTAGAATCCTTTTTCTAAAACTAGTCCTGCAGTCACAGAGGACACAAAAGATACCGTTAATGCTTTTTCTTCCACAATCAAAAGGAAAAAATTAAGATGGCAAGGCACAAAGACCCAGGCTCAGAAGGCTATAGAGCTGCCAATTCTAGTTTAAGCTTCTAGGACCCAGGCACAGCTAATATTTGACCTTGGTTCCATTTGATTCACACCAGTGTGAAAGACAAATCAGGTTACCTCTCCTTAGTGAGCTCTATTTTACCTTAAAGCTTGTTGTGATGGAGGCAAACTTATTATCTGCTGTCTCAGGATTGCCAATCAGGTAGTCCCAGCTCGTGAACATTTTCCAGCTGAAATTAAAACTAGTATCATCCCCACCACCTTCTTCATTTGCATTCCTTGCCATTCTACAAAAGCCAGAAAGACACAGGAAGACCTTGTTAGAACTAGTTCTGTGATGTGACCGTGGTTTTTAAATTGGTCCTGAATTCTAATATTGTTCTGAAAAAAACTATATTATTATTGCAGTCAGTCATGTCATACTAAATCTGGAAAGTTCAGTCTGAAATAAGAAAGGAGGATGGATATTTTCACATTCAGACAACTTACGAGCTCACAAACACATTTTGATGAGAAAGAATGAATTTATTTCATTAACACCTCAGAGAAACTCTGCTGGATAAGAAACTTAATAGGAAAACAACGTCAAGAAGATCTCTCAAATAGAAAGCTGCAGAGCATCCTGAACTGCAATAGATTTTATTAGAGACTTCACAAAGAGAAAAAAATGATTCTAAAATAACAAGCCAGAACAAAACCTGGTTATAACATACAAAAATATCACTAATACAGCTTTCTATCTTCCCTTTCATCTCCTATGCACTTATAAACAAGATTTATAACGGTATCCAGAAATATCAAATTATTTCTTCAGTGATTTGACTTAATCTTGATTACTAACTTTTCTATTTCAAAGTGTTGTCATTCATGTAATAATAACTGGCCTTGCTTCTGCATACTTTATCACTTAATTCAAACCACTAAGCACATTAAGCACAAAGATGGAGTATATTGGTAGGGTACAAACCATTTAGCCTTCAGTTTTGTATTGATTTCTTGGTCAGGAAAAGGCAGTGCCTATGTTAAAGCTCACTGATGCAGCAGAGTTATGTTATTAATATCAATACATTCTACATACCATATTTTTAACAGTCCAGTAAAATACATACTGCCAAGTCTAGGAAGACAATAGTAAGTAAATAATATAGAAAAAACTTCTGAGCTGTCATAAAGCAATACCAGGGTCAGTTCTTTTGTTTTACTGCTCCTATACAAAAGCGACTGAGATCATGAAAGGTTCTTGGTAGGATCTGCCCTGCTACTGGTTTCTAGACTAAGATAATTCCTTCTCAAGAGTTCCTAACGAAATAGTGACCAATCTTGAGGCTGGGATACCATTTCTTTGAGACCATAAATGTTTCCATTTTATGTTATATACTCGGAGAGCTGTGGAGAGGAGCCTTAAATCTAAATATTTACCCCAAATAGAATAGTAGTGTTTATAATCCTCACTACCTCTTTCATGTAGACATTCCCTGTCCCAGATCTCAGTCAACAGAAGAAAAACAGTAGCACCTCCTCTTACACTGTTTTTAGTTTCTGTGCCCACCGTGTTGCTTTCTGGAGAAACAGCAAAAAGCAGAAGACTGCAAGAACTGCTTATAAGATTACCTAAATATTGATCAGCACTAGTGTCATGTGGCCAGATGGGAAGTTAGCATGTGCAATGTATTTTTTCCTCAAGGGTATTGCTTTGTTTGGGCCACAGTGATTTTCTGCTAGAAGGAAATTTATTTATTTTTTTTGGTCTGGGTGACAGTCATTGAAATACAATTGCCTGAGACTAAGACTTTTGTAATTTTCACAGCTACACTATAAAAAAATATTTTAAAATATATTTTTGAGCTAAACAATTACTTTTTTATTGCAGTAGTTTGCTCTTTCTGCAAAAATACTTCTTGCTGTATGCAGGAAATCATGTAATATTTTAAAAAGAGAACACGAATTAATCTAGTGCTCATGCAAGTGAAAAATACTGACTTCAGCAAAAAATGGAAATAGATTCACTGCAGTTTTCTCCATATTCACAAGTGTCCTTGAATCTTGACCTGCAGTGCTCCGACTTTTTTCACTGTAGACATCTTTTAAAGCCACCACTATAGCTAACTGTATGATTGTGGTAGGTGGTCACCTTGCTTGAATCAAGAGTATTAAAGATCTTATTCATTGGTGGTCTATCTCCTTATAAACTATCAGGATTATCACAGTTTATTGCAACAGTGAATTTGGCTATAAAATAATAATTTTATTTCATTTAAATTCTGATCTTAAGACAAAATTCAAGTCTAGAATTTGAGAGCCAAAAGGTTGATATATCACCAGTTGTATTGCCTAGGTCCTGTTTCATTTACGCTTATGCTTCCTACGGCTTTAACATTATGTTCATAACACTACATTAAGCACAGTTTTCACACTGCTGGAGATTATTTTGCTTTTCACAGACCATTAAGCCCTTACTATGCCTAGTAGCATTAATTCTTCTACAGCACTGTGTAAATGTGACCTAACCACTGTAGTCTTGCTGAGAATCAGTTACGGCTGACTGTGAGTTACACACAGAATTATTTGCCATATGTTTCTTTCTTGTCTTCTTCCTTCATAAAAGAGTTAAACTCACATAAGGGATCATTGAAGGTAGAACAATTGAATTTCCTGGATGTTAGCTGACATTCTGCTAGATGCAGGGTATCATGAAAAGATGGGCTGACAGCTCTGTTCCTTGCTTTATACATTCATTTTTCATTTTGAGGTTGTAGGAGGAAGTGTTACGTTATTTCAGTAAAGATTTATTCCCACTTCCACAACACTGCAACACAGCTGCTGGTGCAGAACAATAGATAAACCAACACAAGCTGAAATAATCTTACATGATTTGTACTTGATCTGGCATTGTCCTGTCCTTACGATTACCATATTTTTAAAGAGTTAATTTCAGTGGTCAACAGTGGAATTACCTGCCTTTTCGAATGTACTTTATTCCAGAGCCAAGGACAACTTACGTTCGAATGACAATCATAAAGCTGTAGCCAATAGTCCCAACTCCAACAAGGAAATATGAAAGAGGCATCCTGAACTTGAGCCATCCAATTGTCCTCTGGTTATTGTAATAACCATAAAACAGTACAGAATACTGTGCAAAGCCCTGAAAAGTCAGCAAAAAAATATAATGTCACAACTCTTAAATATGCCTGTAATCAGAAATTGTACCAATAGCAATGTACCAAAACATTCATTTCAATGCATTTAAAACAGCTGTAAGCATTACTATGATAACTCTCACAGGATGGAAAGTCTCTCATTTAGAAAGACTTAGAATATTTAATGTTGACTTTCAAATCTTTTATCTTTAAAAGTCTTCATGGGCACTTCTACGATTTAATGAGTCAAAACTTTTTCATCCATATACTTCTTGCTGTAAAGACAAAAACATTTTGGTTTACAAAACTCATTTTACAAATTATAAAATGTCAGATTTTAAACTTAAATTTCCCATTTCTAAAATCTACTTGCCTAGCCTATTTGGTGTAAAATTCTCATACATCTCTGTCTAGCAATGTTTTCTGCTGTTCATTGGCTAATCATTCAATATGCATTAACCAATATTTAGTTGCATCTTACAGATGATTATTCAGTATGTAGGGCTTTCTAACACTTAGACTCCAAGGTTGTAAAAAGTGGAATGTAAGTGTATTTTCTTTTCTGTATTTCCTTTTCTAAAAATCTTAATGAGAATTATCTTCTATGGGTTGGATTGCTGATTTTTCAAAGTAATTTACTCGTACATTATTAACTGTGAGGAATTGCTGGTATCTAAAATGATTCAAATAACTAAGGTTTCCTGATAATCCTCAGGATAGAGCAAGAACTTGCCTCCCAGAAGAAGACTATATCCAGAGCCTTTTACAAGGACAGTTCAGCATATGCACAGCAGTAGCAAAGCTCCAGTTGGAAGTAATGATTTCAACTCAAATATGGAGCATTTGACCATGTAATTGATGGATAGACCAATGTTGTGAATTAAAAAAGCCATTTAGCTCCCTTCTGATTTTCAATTGCTCATTTTACTTAAAATAAATAACACCTTTCTCTTATAGATTATTGCAAAACATGCACTTAATTTATTATAGCTCTTACTATATATGAAAGGAGTCACAGTGTTACCTGGAAAATCTAATTCACAATTCTAAGCTGAAAGTGAAATATTAATATATGATAAACATTGGTATTGAAAATGTCTTGATTTGGTAATCAATATATCTCATTTTTCTTCATATCAGACTAGCTTTGAGAGATGTGCCTACACATAACAGATAATAGTATTTTCTTCTCTCATGAGGGAAATATTGTTATAGAACACATTTATTACTAATTACTAGTAAAACATTTACACCAGTCAGGACACATTCAAATTCAATAGTATGTCTTTTCCATCTTTTTGCTCATTAAAGCAGCCTATAATCCTATCTTAGTCCAGATTCAATACAGCCTAACATGGCTCTGGAGAGCCTTTTGGATCCCTCAGATTATTAAAATGCTTTTTAAGTTGCTGTGTTCTGCAAAGTCAGACATAATTCCTCCACTGCGTGTCATGCAGTATGTTGTTTCCTGGGCTTTGCCTAATGCATTTCACCATGAGACCTGAAATATGTTTAGCTGTGTAAAGGTAGGCACGCATGGAAGATCTCTTCCACTCCTTTCTGAGCCTAACAAAAGAGGGCTGAGATAAGAATATTGGTCAAATGTTTTATTGTAATCAGCCTTGACAGTCTGATTTTTTTTAGGTTTGGATTATTATCTGCACTGTAAAATACACAATCCTAAAACTGAATTCCAACTAAAAGATATCAAAATCCAAAACTGTTTCTCTTTGCCATATCACTAAAATGAGTTCAATTTCAAGCACAAAAAAAGTAAAAGATATGTTAGGATCATCTTTTCTTTACTGTCTTAAAGATTGGTTGGATATTGGGGTTTTTTTAGGATGAAATAATGTTTGCTGATGTGGGTTCATTTATTTGTAACTTAGTTGGTGGCATACAAGAACCACTAGCAGATGAAAGGTACTATTTCCTGTGCTGTTTAATTGAAGATGTGATTTTCTTCAGGGAGTATTTGTCAATCTGAGATGGCTCAAGAATTTTTTTTTTCTTCTGTATATTTCAGAGGATCCACCTCTTTCACTGCCTTATTCTGTTTGTTACCATTGCATTTCCTCCTTGTGTTAACTGCTACTCTGTTATTTCCTCTACTTTCTTCTTCAGAGCTGTCAGATCCTGCTTCCCCTCTCTTTCCACCATCTGTCTTCATTCATCTTTTCTCAAATACGTTTCTTTTAAAAACTTTGTTCCCATTTGCTGTATAAAGCTCTTCTACTCTCTACTCTCTTTACAAAATCTCCAAGTTACTATGATTCTTTTTGTCTAATATCTCCCTGATGTTTCAATTTCTCATCTTATAATGACGTCATTGTTATCTAACCTCCCAGCTACATGTCTAGATGTATTCATCCTGTAACTCAAATATACAACTCCTGATGAACCAGACACAATGTCTTTATGCAGCAGTCGTTGTCTGCATACATGGATTTTTATAAAGATCTTTCCATGCTTTTGTATCCAAGAAGGGTCCATCATGTTATGTGGCAAAATAAGGCAGAAATAATCTGCTCATTTTATGTACTTTCATAGTCAAAAGACAGATAAACATTGTAATTTCTACCTAGCATTATATTATTTTCTTTAAATTCAGTTGTCTACAGTTAATAAGCCTGAGATATTTGCTTGTAAATGAGAAAATGGGTACATCCAGTGAAGTTTTTTGATGTTCTGTCATTTTACAACCTGATCCTTCCTCCACTGATAACTGAAGATTGAAAATAAAGCCAAGGAATCTAAATAAAGGATCAAAATCTGACATCATCTGAGTCTCCACATGAAGCTGTTGAGCCACAAACCAAGCAATCCTGTTTGAGATCTGCATGTCACAAGATTAGGGATCTCTCCACACCTTAACCATACTAAAAAAATTACATTATTAATGAGAAGCATAGACACTGTACCCTTTTTACGCTTTTTTCAGGAGAGATGAGAGCTGGCCTCTTGTTGGAAAGCAGACAGGTATGAAAATCTACCTGTGTCCCTCCTGGGATTGACTGTGTAGAGCTCCACAGCCTGCACAGTTCTTCGCACCGGCATGGGTGGAACAGGACCTCATGTGGGCCAAACGTACATGGAGATGCCACTTTTAGATGAGTTGTTCTGCCAAGAGCTGGACAGGCTGAGGTATAAACTGGAGGAACCTGTGCCTGAGTTTATTTTTCTAAGAAATAGTTCTGCTTCCAACATCATACTCATGCTTGCTGTTGCTAAAATGACTCAAGTGCTAAAAGATAGGTCTATGGACAACTTTAAATGTCTTGGTACTTCTTACAGAAGGCAAAGAGTGCAGCAGATTGAGGGAGAAATCATACTTGGTTCAATGGATGCTGCTTCTATTAACCTGAAAGAAAACCTTACCTAGATGGTTGCACCCTTTCACAGTTGCAGAGTACCTTTTGATGACATTGACTGCATGTCATAGAGAAACCTAACAGCCTTCCAAGCAACTTATTGTAATACCAAATTTATCATCAACTGACTTTATGCAAAGTTGTATCATCTTTATATGAAGAGGCCAACTACAGAGACATGCTACATGCAAAATTAGATAAAACTGTTGTTTTCAGGAAGAAAAAAACATATGACATATTTAGGAATACACCACTAGCTTGTCAGTACAGGATGTATAGATCCACAGGCTAGTCTGGGCATCACATGAATGGTAAAGAATTAAGATATGCTTTTCAATTCAGCTAAAATATCTGCATATTCTATAAGATTGAAAAAAAAATAGCATTCTTAGTTTTAGAAAAGGCCTACAGAGGACATTTTTTGAATTTCTTTTCTTTTTTCTAATTCAGAGTGCATCCTCAAATTTGGAACCTTATTCTTATAAAAACAGAGGACTAAATTCACTCATAAGAAATGGAAAGTCAATACCCAGGTATGTGAATCCAGCTTTGAGACTTTTTCCCATATGTCTTTGGATTGCTGCATATATGAAATGTGTATGTGGACATTGAGCTTCATTATATGTTTTGTCTGAAGGAAACATCTATACTCAGAACTTGTAAAAAAAATGAGTAAATTCATTCTATTGCCATTCCCTCATGAAATATTTCATATTAAATCCTGAATATTAAATAATGAAGTAAAATCCTGTAACAATCAAAGACTTATGTGAATATGCAGTATTGCAAGTTTATGCACTTACACTAAAATCCCAGAGAGTAGCAAAGTTCATAGCACTTGCTTCTTCAGCTCTTGGGACAGTTTTTCTAGGTAAAGAGCCATATGGCTTCCCCATCAAAGCCTGGAACCAAAAAATGAGAGCAATTTACATTTCAAAGCAAAATACCAACAAAGGGAAAGGACAGTGAACTGTCATTTCTTAGGAAGACTTGCTTTATGCTCCTATACTCTTTAGTGAGGATGACCTACTTCTCCAATTCTTTTCATTGCTTTTCACATTAATGACTGAAACTATGCTTAAAGTATGTATTAATGGTGTTTTCTAAATTTAAAGTGATGTTCCACTGGTATCAATGGACTGTCAAACTATGCCTCTTGCATTCAAAGGCAACACAGAAGTTCAAATTCCTCTGATGGGTGGCGTTTGCCTTACAGACAAGACCAGAAGATTTATTTTTCTTGCATTATGGATTTTATTGGTTTTTTAATTGAAATGTATGGGAAAATGCTAGGGACTCAGTTTTTGGATTCTGATAGTCGCACTGCTGCTGGCATGATGCTTGCTCAGCTAGAGTATATATCCTCACAGGATCTTTTCCAGGCTTAACCTTGAAAATTGTTGGGCATTTTCCGTGTTTTGGTTTCAACAGAAGATGGATCATGGTATTGAAATGCTGTCCTAGGAAGCTGTTGGAAATTCCTTCCTGATTCTTTCCCATATGCTTACCAGAAGATAAGTAAGAAGACGTGGAATAGTGAAATCAGGGAGATGGCACAATACTTTTAATTCCATATAAGCCCTCTTTTTAGGAAGACAATATGGTGGCTCAAAGGAACTAGAAAAATATTACATTTCATAGAAGTGATTTCTGCCTGAATTACATCTGTTCCGAGCAGCATTATTAACAGTGATGCTGCACACCGTGCGAAACATGAGGGGTCTCTTGTGATTTACAGCCCTGTTGGGCCTTATCAGCATGTGAGTATTAAGGCAACTAAAAAGCATCCATGGTGCCTCTGAGGCCTAGAATGTATCTTTCTATTGCAATGCACATTTTAGTCAAAATACTCCACCTGGCTGCTTCTTAATCTCAGTTAATCTCCTTAGATTAGAAAAAAAGAAGTTTAGCACCATCCCACACCATGGGAAAACACCTGCAGGACACAACCCTATACACATTTTTCTGTCATGTCTATTTCAAGACATCCCTCTGTAGAGACAACTGTCCACAGAGAAAGTACATGTTTACAGCCTAACTGTATTTTAATACTTTTAAATGGAGCCTAACGAGACTATAAATTTATTTAAAGGTACAGTCCTATGAAATCTCACTGCAAAGACAGAAATTTACATAACAATTCTCAATGATAATTTAAAAGACTCCCACCTCAGGCACCATTACAAGTCCAAAGGTCAGTCCAAAAAGAATCATGTTTATACCATACATCCAGCGCAAGAATATGAAATAAGATGCTACTGACGAGCCAAAGTGACCTATGAAAACATGAGATGTGAAAAAAGGGCAGATAAGTTAACCCTCTTATGTTATTTTACCTTAACATAAAGATGCTTATGATTTATTTAAAATAAATACAATCAGGGATGGGTTTTAATTTTCTTTATTATCATATTTTTAATAACTTTTTCCCAATTTGCATATTAGCATTCACTGACCTGGCAGAGAAAACAGAAAAAAAAAAAATAAAAGTATTATTTATACAGAGTATTTAGGGTCATAAAAACGCTGTGACATTTACTATTATTAGTTCAGATCTGAGGCCCCCAACACAAGAAGGACATGGATCTTTTGGACCGAGACCAGAAGAAGGCCGGGAAGATGATCAGAGGGCTGGACCATAGGATGTCTCCTATGAAGATGGGCTGAGAGGGTTGAGGTTGTTCAGCCTGGAGAAGACAAAGCTCTGGGGAGACCTTATAGCAGCTTTCCAGTACCTAAAAGGCGCCTACAAGAAAGCTGCTTAGGGACTTTTTACAAGGACATGGAGTGATAGGACAAGGAGCAACAGCTTTAAATTGCAAGAGGGAAGAGTTCAATTAAACATTGGGAAGAAATTGTTCACTGTGAGGGTGATGAGGCACTGAAACATGTTACCCAGAGAAGTTGTGGGTGTTCATGGCCAGGCTGTATGGGGCTTTGAGTAACATGGTCTAGTGGAAGGTGTTCCTGCCCGTGGCAGGGGGGTTGGAACTGGATGATCTTTAAGGTCCCTTCCAATCAAACCATTCTATGATTCTGTGATACTATGATACCGTAGACCTCTCCATGCTGCATTAATTCTTTTGCTTGAACCCTAATATCACCATTCTTTTGGGAATGGCTTATTTTCATGCATTAAATTACAGTTCTTCTATCAGTCAACCTGATGAAATCCCTGCCATGTATCCATACGAAATACCTGCATTAAGGCACTGCATTGGAATTACATGCATCAGTATAGCTATGGCAAGACACAATCCACAGACTGTGCATGGGCTTTATTCTTCTTCACCAATGACGCAAGAACAGCAAGCTCTGATAACTGAAACGTTTAGGTGGGAATGGGGATAATTTAACTATGTTTCCACAGTGGGCAGGTCCATCAGGGAGCAACAGGGAACATCAAAAATGGTACAAACAACCTGCTCCAACTGTGAACAAAACCAAGCAAAGTTTCACTAGTGTTTTGAATCCACTCTGGGGTGCAACATTCCAGGTATGGATGAAAGAGTAATACTTTAAAGTAGACTTTGGCCATCTTTCCCTGCATCCATAGGCTCATCATACCATGCATTGGCATGCAGATTGGCACGTGTAGTATAAATTTCAGCAGTAGAATGAAGAGGCTCACCCTATCCCAACACAGCAATGAGTGTTTCCCACAAAGTCCTGTTGCACAGATAATACTGAATGTCTATTCTATAAGGAAAAGAAGTGTTTCTTTTCTAAATATCATTACTTCATATATTTATCAACTTCCTTCTCTCTTAAACACAAAACCCCAGCAGCAGACTCACCTGTTTCTGACCCAAGAACGCAGCACAGCAGAGCTTAATACTTGTTATTCTGAAGCTGGGCTCCCTGTGCTAGAAAGGACATTCATCTCAAAGCAGGGACCCTACCTGACGTAGCCCAGCACTTCATGCTGATACCTGGTCTTTTTAGACAGCTGGCAGCCTGGAAGAGTCAGACACAACTGAAGAAGGCTGTGATACGGAGGGCCTTATTTGTTATAGTGGGGAGCATTATGAAACTAAGCAAAGGTTAAAGATTAGTTTTCTTGCTAGGTCTTAAATGTAGCTAATACATCCCTTTTTTCCTCTTATTTTTATTACTCTCTTTATTTCTTTATTCTTTTATTTATTATTATTAAATTATATTGTTGATTATAATTATCACAGAAAGGAAAACTCAAGAATTTTAATATCTAAATATGAACAATCCCCCTGCTGCCAGTCCGTAGGCTGACCAGAAATGATCCCTGTATGAAGTTTAAATGGGTGGTTAATGCAGGTTTGTAGTTTGGGACTTAGTATGAAAAGTTTAAAACAGGGGTGTGTCTTCTTATACCAATATTAATAGCAAGTAATATTTATTTATTTTTCCTATACTCTTCTGTGTCACGTCTAAGGCACAGTAGCATGGCTGTTATTATCTGACTTGATGTGGTCAAGGTGGTTCTTGTGTATCTAGTTCCTTCAAAGAAGACAGGAGTACTTAGTTTTACCGTAACATTACCAGGTCTTCCTTCTTAGATTAGTCTGACCTATCCTAAAGGAGCCCTTTGTTATCATGCTGAAGTACGTTTAAATTTTCCCATCAAGTCGAAACTATGGTAACAAAAAAAGCTTGATAAAACTTGTGTCTTATAACTTGGGAGTTCCCAGGCATACCAACACAACTTCAGATACAGAGAGTTTGCTCACTATGAAGCATGTTCTTCCCAAGTCTTTCTAGTGTGTAAGTCATGGCCCAAGGAACCTTTCAGTTCAGTAGCACAGCCAGACACGTGTGCCACTTGCCCCAGTCCAACAGATTCTTCATTTGACTTCTTTTTTTCCTAAAGCTACACTATTTCTACTGACTTTATGTGAATTTAGTAGTTCTGATGTTGTCATAAAGTGTGTTTATTTCAGTGTTGCTTTTCCCATTAAGTTTCCCGGATCAGCTGGCAGTGGTAGGGTGGCACAGCCACCTATCTTCTCCAGTTTGTGTGAGAGAAAACTTTCTATGTAGTCTAACATTGTTTTACTAGTACATTATTTCTTTTTAAATCAAAGAAATCTTCCCCAGTAGTACCTAATCGATCTTTTGCCACTATACAGGACCTTAATTCACTTTTCATTTGCAACCTGTCTACAACCCTGGCTACTTTCGAGAATGGACTAACACCCAACAACACTACAGTATAAGCATCCAGTTTTCTAAAAGAGAGTCTGTATTACATGTTAATTGCTGAACTGCATCACAAAGAAGACAGATCTTTGCCATTTGATTAATATATGGCTTGATCTCCTTTGCTTTGTTGATCCTCTAGACTCCAAAGTAGGTATCATGATAATCCTGCACTAACGCTAATTTTAGGGCAAACATTATTAGTGCTCTGAAACTGCTTTCTTTCAGACAAGTTATGCTTGGTTGTTCAGATGCAGTTTTTTAGAGGGCCCGAAGAATAAACATTAGTGTTTCTCAGCAATTAGAAAATTATATTTACTTCCTCATTTTCTACTGTAAACAGTTACTGCCTTGTTCACTTGGAATTTTTTTATAAAAAGCTCACTTTGAGATCAGAAAATGCAAATCATCTTCATGTAAGAACACAGAGATGATTTATGCTGAGAAGATAACTGATTGGAAGTTAAGAACTGTAAAGTTTTGCTAATCATAAACTGTTCACTCACACAAAGGTATTTAGCCAAATGAAAAGTTTTCCTATACAGAGTAGTCGGCACATAAGTGTCAGGCTTCTGCTCCTTTCATACTCCTCCTGCTTAGGCTTTCTTTTAGCTGGGATCACACAAGATTCAAACAAAAGTTCCATAAATTCTCGCTTCTCTTTTAGGTGCTATTGACATGACCTCTTCTTATACCCTGTTAATACTTACATTTCTGTGCTTAGTGGAAAGAAAATAGATTGTAGTATAGTACTAGCAGTGATCATGGAGGATTATATACAAGTTTTACCTCTAGTGTCTTTGGGCTAAGAAGCTGCTCATCTAACTATAATCTCATCTGTTGGAAGGAGTAGAAGCTACCCATGAACATTTCATTTTCAAACCTGTTTAACTCATGAATCAAATATACCAGGTACTTACCTGTGTGTATGCATGTGTTCTGGTGGAAAAATTGTCACAAAAGAAACATTAGTTTAAAAATGCTAAAGTGTGTAATGACATGGAAAGCAGCTGTACAGACCGAACTCTGTGGTGAACCGAGCCAGTGCATTTTGCATCATCAGATTTTCAAGAGTGGTCCAAATAGCCTACTTCACCTGTCACAGTCTGATGTCATTTGTTGTTTGTTTCACTGTACTGTCTCCTCCAAAAATGAGCTGTCATGTAGACAGTGCTCCCTCTGATTTCCTTTATGCAACCACATTTTGCCACATGAGACTGCAGCCCATGGGAACTGACATGACTACGAACTCACTACAAACAATGCTGCCTGACAACATTGTCTTTTTAAATGTTGATTCTGATGTCCAAGCCTAGTGTTCAATCATTTCCTTCAACCACTCCTCAGTATTTTGGGTGGACTGAAGGATCCAGTGGTTACATTAAAGGTGTTGCATGTGCCAACAAGGTTCTCCCAGATGCCCAATGTGCCGCATTTAGTAAGCCTTATGTAAAGTCCTAAGCAACCAGAGATACCTTTCTGCCAAATTCTTTGTAAGCACTATCAGGCACATTCTGTTCATTGTCTGATGTCATGTGTTAAGTCTGTAGTGTTACTGTCATTTTACAAAGGACTGAACTGAGCCCCAAAAGGCAAAACCATTAGTACTAGGAGTCAAAGAGGAATCAGGTCATTGCTCAGCTTGGATCCATCTGGAAACACACCTGCCCTTGCAGAGTTGCTTCTTCTGTTTTTTTAACACTACCGCATGTCTGAAGACAGCAATTGTTGAGAACATTTCATTCCCTGGAGCTCATGCATACAAGCTTGTAGCTGACTCTGTGGAAAAGGTGGGTGCTCCTTTAATATGTTCTGTATTTGATGTCCGATCAAATCTACAGATTTTGATCAGCACCTGATATAAAAAATGGTCTCATACTGCCTCTACTAACTGAAATTTGGAGATTACAGGGTAATCCTTGACTTAACACCAACAGTTTGTTAAATGCCAAGAAATAGAAGATAACTTTTTCCTTTTTACTAAACTTGAATCACTATGACCAATGTAGTACATGTCCTACCCAAATATAAATTCAGATGACAATTAGGTTTCTAGAAAAAGTTGAAGTAGCAAATTTTTGGTTTCTGTGACTCAATGTATCTTAATCTCTACTCTTCCCTTATACACAGACTAGTTTTGTTCCATTTCAGTTTCCCTCACTTCTCCTTTTTTAATGTCTAACCCCCTTTTTTTTTCTGGGACTTGGCAGCTTTAGAAGCAGCATCATTAAGATGACCTTGATCTTAGTATTACCAATGCACTAATGTGAGATACATTGTGAGAGCTACAGCTTAGATTAACCAGAATCAAATAAACTGCAACTTAAAATTCTTTTCCTCAGTAATATTTCAGAGCTGTTCCCTTGAAATCAAGTTTTACTCTAGACTATAGAGTTTTGGACCAAACTGAGGTTTAACTGCACTTCTTAAATTACTAATATTCAGATAGAGGATTGTTTCTGCAAGTAAAAGCAATTGCAGCTTACCTTACCAACATACTGAACAGAACAAAAACTAACAGAAAAAGAGTAAGTGTCACAGTCTTACCCCTTGAGATTACAAAAAGGTACTATCACATTGTGATTTTGGGAAGTTTCAGGTGACAGCAGAACAGTTACTCATTTAAAATGAAAAAATAAATAGATACAAAAGCAGGACTGGAAAAATTACCTTGTTCTATTTTTGCATTCTGATTTTACAAAGAAAGAAATGTGTCTGTTGGAAGTTATTACCAGCAGAACAACTTGTGCCAGAACTACTCCTTTACAGAAACTTGCAGAAACATTGCTCTCACAAATACTCAAGATTTCTATTATGCGTCCAGATCAGTAAGAGACCGCGTGCGTCTTGCGGCTGAGTTTATTTTAACTACACATATGCAGCAGGTTCTTTCTAAACTCCACCTCAAGTGAGTAGATAATCTGCTCGGCAGTCTGTAGACCATATGTTTAAGGACATTATGTAAATTCTCAAGGGTTATTTTGCAGTCCAAAACTCCACAAAATTCAAAATTTATCATTTTTCTGTTCTTCTCCTGTTCTGATTATTGCCTTTTGATGCAACCCACAGCTTCTTCCAAAGGCAACTTCTCTAAAATCAGTTTCCATTGCATTTTCATCTCCGTCTCATCAGTGGCAGAGCCTCATTCAGGTACCCATGCAGCTAAGCCAAATTTCCTTCAAAGAACAGGCTGCAGTTTAAATTCATCACTGGAACTGAAACACAAAACTGACTTGTGCCAAAAACCTGCTGTCAAACATACCTGTAGTACTAACTACACTGGTTTGTTTATATTTATGCCTAATATATGGGGACGTTCAAGACTACTATTGTTTTTTCTGTGTTGTGTTATATGGTTGAAAATGAGACAAACAATGCCAAAATACCTCATATGCAAGGCTCAAGATGATGAAAAAACATCACAGAAATAATTATAGTATAAATATAGACAAAATAAAGTGAAGGATGGCAATAGCTAAATCGCAGTTTCACTTTTTGGGGATTAACTTCAACACTGGCTCCTGAACTGTTACCTGTGCATTAAAGATTTTTGTCTGTAAGATGACTAACACCCTCTCAAGGAAATTTTCAACTAGCTGTAATACCAAGCTCAATAAATATTACTGAAAAATAAATAGTCATTGATTTTATACTACACATTGAATATAAATACGTATTTCTAAAGTACTGAAAAATAATTTACCGGTTTGGCATGCATCAGGAATATGATACTAGATACTATTATCTTTTACCTTCCATAAGTACTTACTTTCAATCTCCTTAATTTTCATTTCCCAGGGTATGCAGGCTGTCTTAAAATTCTCAAAATCTCTTTGAAATTTCATCCATTTCTGAAAAGGGTCACAGATAAAAAAAAACACCATCATTTCAATGTCAAGATGCTCCGTTTCCCCTTGAGCTAATGTAAACCCCTAATCATCCGTAGTATCCTTTGGCAGAGCCCACTGCGATCGAAGCACTAGCTTACGAAGAACCATCTCCTTTTGTTTGCTCTGAACATGTCTCCTACTGGCTTTGTGTGAAGTCTCTATTTCTTCCACAAGAAGAATGATTAAATAATCCCTTCCTTTCATGCCATTCATTTTTTTAGAATTGTTTCTCAGACTTTAATTTGTTCTTTCCTTTGCTATTCAAAATTCAGATCTGGAGCTCAAACTGTGTCATTTAATTACAATTACTCTACCCAGTAGTTTATCTATTGGATAAGTATAACTTCTGTAATTGAGCTTCCTGTGCCCAGCTAAGTTTGAAAGCCTAATTATTTTTTGTGGACATTAATGCTTATGAGATGTGACTACACAACTGCTTGCAGAAAATTCAGTCTAACTAAGGGTAAACCTGGCCACAGCAAGTAGTCCTGCCAATAGTCTTAGCATCATTCTGCATCAGCATTTTAGTTTAAAGAGTATGCTTTTGAAATGAATCTCCCAAACCATCTCAATTTACCACAGTTATATTTGCATTGTAAAGGAGCATCAGAGCATAAAACTAAGTCAAAAGATATACTTGAGGACTGCAGTTGAGGACCCTGCTAATCCACACGCATTGCTATTGGGTATTTAGTCTTTGGGACCACACAGGACTTAAACCAAAGAAAGACCTTCCAGAATGCACACTGCGTGATCATTGGGTCCTCAGCAATCACGGTTCGGTCTTTTGGTCACAATCCTACAGAGCCATATTGCTTCCTAGGATATATGCGCTGCCCTAGAGCCTTGGCTCAGTGGAGATGCCCGCAGTATTTTTGCTGTAGGGCAAAAAGACACTTTTTGATTCTTCACAGAAGGCTTTCTCAAGGGAAAGACTCAGTTTTGGATTCAGTCCACAGAAAAACCCAATCTACACCAAGAGAAATTAACTTTCACAAGAATTAAAATCTTACAAACTTTTGCAAAACAGTTGATTTTTCTTTTGATAAGAAGTCTCAATCAAACTGTGAGCTTGCATTAGAAATCTTTTCATGCAACAGCAGTGGAAATAGAAGTGTTAAAATGCAAAGAAAGACAAGGAATTCTATTTTGAAAGATGGGTACATATGGCAATAATTTGCAAAAGGCTCCCCATTTGCATCACATGAAGTTAGTGAAAGAATAAATTTACCTTGGTCATCATCACTTTGTACGCATAGAATTTTTTTCCTTTTCCTTTTCCAAGAGCACCTTCAAACTTTTCAACAAAAAGCTGGGCTTCCCTGTAAAATGAAGGCAAAAGAGAGACATAGATGACATGACGGTAGATTTAATATTGTCTCTACCATATCAATGGGGTTTTTTAATGTGTTCTAATTCCTCATAGAGTTTTGTATAATCATGTTCCCTTAGTAATGTTTAGAAAGAAAAGCTCTGAGATTTTGTATTTCACAGAAGACTAGTCATATGTAGTGCAAACAGAACAAGCAACTTCAGTCATCTGCTCTAATCCAAACACATTTGGAGTTCTGAGATCTGCCTACATCCAATTAATGTTATCAAATATTTTTAGTCACAGTGACTTTCTTTTGCAGTTCAACTGCTGCCCATTTGTGCCACTCACAAACTGTTATTCCTTCTGGTTGCACCTGACATAAACTGTTGTCCAGCCACCTAAGGGAAATTTATTTTCATTTTTTATTTTGGAGATACGTATACACTAGAGCCTTGGTTCCCCTGTGCCTACCCTTTTAAAGACTAGATTTAATTCAGGTCTTCAGAATTTCTGCATATATCATCACTACTTGTGCCATTCTCAGAATCATTTCTTAGAAGTGTAGCTTCAGTCATATCCCAAAAGACTAAAATTTTGTTTATATGGAAGTTAAATAATACCCTAGTAATACAAATATGAAAGGAAGATTTAAAATTGTTTTTAAAAGGCATATGTGCATGGATTAAAACAATAAACAGACGAGATCAAGAGCATACTAATATTTCCTACATTTCACCTAATTTTCAATTACAAATATGACTTTCATGTGTGTGTCTATTGAGAAAATATGCCCTAAAGGCTAAATGTCCTGATCTAAACCACTGGAAAACAGAGTAAGAATTCTTTGCTGGCAGTGTATGCATAAAACTGTAAGTATTTTGTCATGCTAGATGACTGCAAAGCATTGTACATTCTATTAGGTACTACACTAAGTACTTGGGAAAAGGTAGACTATTGGCAAAATGTTAATTGTGATGCCCGTGTCTCCAGAAGCGCCACAGGTAAGTTCACTGAGTGAAATTAATTGTCATGCTTATATCTTCTGCTCACATATTTTATGTAAGAAAGAAAAAAGATTGTGTTGAACTGCAAAATCTGACAATGGAGTTGGCACAATAGTGTTGTAGATGTCATAAAGAATTAAAATTATGTGTGAAGAAGGCTATTAACCATGTCATAATTTCTCTTAACTCATGGTTAAAAATCTTAACATCTTTAAAAATACTGTGTATTTTTAGTAACTGCAAATGTTTACGGTGATCTTCACAGTATCATTTGAAGACCTATCAAAACCTTTCCTCACTAGACGCCCACTACACTAGTCTCTTGGCACGTAGTAGCAAGACTCTGAACAGCCTTTTGTTTCTACACTTCCAAAGATGGTGCAAAATCGAGCTACTGAATTTAGCTTTCACTCTTTGAGAGTTTTCCCTCTTTGAGACTCCTCTGATCACTCTCACCTTCCAAGTGCTCACACCTAAACCCAGCTGGTGAGGCATCATGACCAGTGTCAGTTCACTTGACCTCCCTAGGAGTTCAGTATGCCTTTTCCCACCATTTTCTCTTTCAAAGACATAGGTTGGCAGAAGCAAAAAGCTACACTCAATAACATGAATCCCAGTCTAACCACACTTTTTATTTCTATTCCCTGTGGTACAAGGCATGCACATATTCAGATAAAGCAGACAAAATACCCAGCCACCACTCCAGCCACACATCCCACCTATTCACCAATTCAGTGTTCTTTTTGGATCGAGTCCATGTGTTTTTAAGACTCTAGGTCCCTTATTCTCAATTCTGCACTTCTGGATCACATTTCTTTTCTGGATTTTGGAGTCTGATCTTTCTTTACTTTAGCTAATTTTGACAATGACTGAATGTTCTTTATTTTCTGAGCTACCTTGAGTCCTTCAGAGATGTTCTGGCTCAGTGTTCACATCTCATTCTCTCATTTTGATTCTCAAAAAATTCTACCCTTAAATTTCAGTCCTCTCAATTAAGTCAGAGAACATAGATTCTTTCAACTTCAGGAAACCAGTGTCCAAGAGTCCCGTTTAAATCCATGTTCACATGTTTTAAAATCTTGTTGCACTGTCAGGAGATATGAGGCAGTCTTAACAGCAGATGGCAGCTTCCTCATAAACTCTACAAGCAGTGCTGGAGCAGTACCATAAAAGCAGCCAGAATCAATAAGCTGGACATGTACCACTCTCCCAAGTCAGCACATCATATTTTGGACTGGAGAGTAAAACTTTCTACCACCTCTTCGATCACTAGGTAATTCAAGCATTCAGCTTAAAATTACTGAAATCTAAACCTACAGAGCTGTAGAAAACCTGTGCTTTCAGTCACTAATTATGTGCAGTCATGCTGCAGAATATGAAAATTTCAAATTGTAGGTTGGCTTTTTTTTACAGTGAAGAAGTAAGTTAGAAATTTAAGTGGATAATACAAAAACAACTAGTAGAATATATAGAATATATGAAGAAGAAGAACAAATAGAAGATATGAACACATTTCGCATCTGTAGCTGAATACAGAAGTTCTCCACAAACATGTTCTGCTATAAAATTAAGCTAAAACAAAACAAGAAGGAACTTCCTACAATGAAAATCATAAAAAGATTTATTTTAAACTTATAATCTAAGCCTTGTTTTCGCTTGTTTGAAATGTCTTTTTACAAGGTTTTGTACAAAAAATAGTATTTCTTATCCCTCTCTGCCTTCTGGACTGTCCATCAAGCAATCTTTCAAGTTAGAATGTTAACAGTATTTAAGCTTTTTCTCCAGGACAAATGAAAATATTACTTTTTGAAGGTGGTGATCCAAATCTCCAGGTTTAATGCTGCTGACTCTCCTGAATGCTTTCCTCAATTTTACTTTGCCAGTGGCTGTGATTTTCTTCCTCCCTGCATCCCTTCTTCCCCAATACTACCCCACTCCAGCGTGTGCTGGTTACAGAACTGCTATAAACTGCCCCTAAATGCTACTGCTTTATAATCTGTTTTTCTCAGATTTTCACTCCATTGACCTGCATTGGACTAAGTTCATCATTGCAGCACGAACAAACCAGATGATGATCTGATAGCCATTAAACTTCTTACTGGGTGGTTATACATGCAGTTAACTGACATACACATGCAAAACCAGAGCACAGAACCAGTTGGATCCATGCATGCACAATATATGTGAAGCTACTTTCATGTTTCATGAAAGAAGTATGAAGCAACTCCTTTCATTTTTTTATATATTGCTTTCCTGTACTTAGAAATTTGTTGTATAAATCTTGAAAAAAATCAACTAAGTCCAAATGGTAGACTTCCAGTATTGTTTTAGTTTTCCATTTACAATGTATTTGCTTTCTAGTCTTGTTAAAATACGCTGTGAGTTTTCGAATTAATAGTAGTCTTGGCATTATTGCATATTTCATACTGACCATGACAGGACAACGTTTCAGACGTGTTAAAAACTGTGGCTATTAGTATTTCCCATTCTTGTGAAATAATAGCCAAAATTGTCACATAGTTAACAATCATTGCATAGTTAATAAAAAAGTAGCACATGTTATATAGCCCAAAGAGTTGTGGTAACAGAGTTAAATCCAGTTGGCGACTGGTTACAAGTGGTGTTTCCCCAGGGCTCAGTTTTGAGGCCAGTTCCATTTAATATCTTTAACTGGATGAGAGGATCGAGTGTACCCTCAGTAAGTTTGTAGACAACACCAAGTTGGGTGGGAGTGTTGATCTACTGGAGGGTAGAAAAGCTCTCCAGAGGGATCTGGACAGGCTGGATCGATGGGCCAAGGCCAGCTGTATGAGATCCAACATGCCAAGTGCTGAGTCCTGCACTTGGGTCACAACAATGCCATGCAATGCTACAGGCTTGGGGAGTGGTGACTGGAAAGCTGGGTGGCAGAAAAGGACCTGGTTGACAGCTGGCCAGATACAAGCCAACAGTGTGCCCAGGTGGCCAAGAAGGCCAACAGCATTCTGGTTTGTATCAGAAATAGTGTGGCCAGCAAGACTAGGGAAGTGATTGTCCCCCTGTACTCGGCACTAGTGAGGTCACCAGTGCCACCTTGAATACTGTGACAGTTTTGGGCCCCTCACTACAAGAAAGACATTGGGGTGCTGCAGCGTGTCCAGAGAAGGGCAATGAAGCTGGTGAAGGGTCCAGAGAACAAGTTTTATGAAGAACAGTTGAAGGAACAGGAATTGTTTAGTCTGAAGACAAGGAGGCTGAGGGGAAACCTTATCGCTCTCTACAACTACCTGAAAGGAGGTTGTAGCGAGGTGGGGGTCAGTCTCCCAAGTAACAAGTGATAGGACAAGAGGAAATGTCCTCAACTTGCACCAGGGGAGGTTTAGATTAGATATTAGGAAAAATTTCTTCACCAAAATGGTTCTCAAGGATTGGAACAGACTGCCAAGGAAAGTGGTTGATTGACCATGCCTGGAGGTATTTAAAAGGCGTGCAGATGTGGTGCTTAGGGACATGGTTTAGCGGTGGATTTGGCAATGTAAGGTTAACATTTGGCCTTGATGATCTTAAGGATCCTCTCCAACCTAAATGATTCTATGATTCTATGATTATTATGCAGTTGAAAGAAATGAATTTTTTTTTTAAAAAAAAAATATTTTGTGAAAGAAGAGTGAAAGTCTTCTTTAACTTAACCAAGTTACCTCTGATGTTCTACAAGCATGTCTTACCTTTTGATGTGTGATTGATTTTATCAATAACATTCTAAATAGCATTTTCATACTACTCACTTAGAAAGACTGAGTCTTACAAGGGAACCTCACCACATGCAAATATACAGAAGAGTTATTAACTGCCCCACAGCAGCCTATCTATTAGCTGCATCCATGAATATATGGATGCCTTAAAGGTCTTATTTAATTGGTAATTAAATGCAAATCTCAGTAACAACTTGATTCTATGAAAAATTCCCACCAGAGTTTTAATGAAATATCTGAAAAGCAAATCCAGCACAGAAGCAGAGCTTGAA